CCTTAGGGAGGGGAAAGGATTCTGGGAGAGGATGTGAGCAACCATTGTTCTCCCTGGTGTTTATTCCCAATCCTGGGCTTAGTCCTAGTGTCACCTACCAGCGGTTTTTGAACGCTCTCTTTTGAATGTCCCCCCTAAGGACATGAGCGCCTGAAACTTACTTTCAGCGACTTACTTCTTCTTTTGAGGGGAGAGGGTTCACTCTAAAGGAGGATCCTTGTAATGCAGAGCACTCGAAACATCGAGGATCACGCAAATACCTACAGCTAACTACATGTCTAGCCCCCTTTTGCCCAAAAGATTTGGTACACAACCTGTAGTATCGTTCCTCTGCCAAAAATTGGATTACTGTTGTTGGGATGAACTACTGCACCCCCGTAATCTTCCTAGCATCCACTTGGGTTGAGAATATGTTTTGCTGGAAGAATTGCAGCCATTTCTTCTAAACCCTGTTTCGCATCTCTAAATTCAGTGGAAGGGATTCCCAGGACTCACACTGTCTGGGTTTAATTTTCAGAAATTGAAGTGGATGACAATGTGCGACAGTTAGATCTCACCAGACGACGTCTACTGTATGCCTCTAATTTCAACATGTTGCCCAATCTGGAAATGCTGACGTTGCGATGGAATTTGCTTAAAAAGATAGAAAATTTCAACGGATTACATAAACTAACCAATCTATCGTTGTATGATAACCAGGTAACTTGGTTGTGAGTAGTAAAATTGTTGAACTTTCCACAGCAGTTATGCAGTACACGGCCGAGCAGATTCGTGACCACGTTCATGGTAGGCGACACGTCTGACCTACGAAAATGCGGAATCAGCTAATCGCGGTGACTGCGACCCATTTACCATACTAATTCCGTCACTTTTTCAGCCTTTCCATTCCTCATTAATTGTTGTATTTAACAAGAATGGGTGTTAATTGCCAAAAAGCTTTTTTCCCACCCCCACCCTTTTGCTGTAACGTACCAACAGACCGTATTGCTTCCGCTCGCAGCCGTTGCTAATTCAAAGAACAGTCCACAATTTCGCCTTTATTAGAGATTTTGTTGTGTTTCAGATAACAAAAATCGAAAACCTTTCCGACTTGCCGAATCTGATTGTATTGGATCTTTCCTACAACAGAATATCCAAAATCGAAGGATTGGACTCATTACAAAATCTCAAAGAACTTTATTTAACTAGAAATAAACTCACGAAAATCGAAGGACTAGAGAATGTTAGTGTAGAGTCTGATTTTGAACTGATTGGTCTGTCTATTGGTAGAACGGAATTTTCAGCTGAAATCACTTGAGTTTTTGGAACTCGCAGATAATCGCTTACGAAAGATAGAGAATCTGGAGGACCGTATCGTTGCGATAAAGTGACAAGGATTAAGAGCACCTGTTACCTGTCGTCTCGTTGATCATCGAATTGCTCGAGCGGGCGCCAGCAACGTCTCCATTCGTCCCTGTCGCGTGCTAGAGTGGTCCAGTGGACCCTCCTCGCTCGAGGGACACGATGTCCTTCATTCCTTTCGTTCAGAGCTTTCGTGAAGAAGTCTGACCATCGGGCCGGCGGTCGTCCAGGTGTTCGTTTGACGTCCCGAGGGATCCAGTCGGTAACCGCTCTGGTCCAACGGTCATCGCAAAATCGCATGACGTGTCCGGCCACCATTATTGGCGAAAACGGCAGCGTCCCTGATCTTCGATCGTTGGCGTAGTTCGAACTCCGGATTCCCCTCTGCACTTGCGTGTATAGGGTTACTCCTAGCATCGTCCTCTCGACAGCGCGTTGGATAACGCTGACCGCATGCTCGTCCTGCCTGCGCAGAGTCCAAGTCTCTGAGGCGTAGGTTAGGGCAGGAAGGACAGCGGAATCGAAGAGGTGGGCACGGAGCCGGATGTTCTTCGTCTTCTTCACTACTCCCTCGATGTTCTTGTACGCTCCCCAAGCCGCTCGTTTCCTCCTGCTCAGCTCTGGAGCTAGATCGTTCATCATATTGATTTCCCGACCTAGGTACACGTAGCTGGAGCATTCGGTGATGTTCGTTCCGTTGAGCGTGAATGGGGCATCAGGAACCAATCCGTTTCTCATAAGATAAGATGCTAAAAATTGAAAGGGCACTCATGCCTTAGGGGGTAATTGCGAAAGTTACTCAAAACAGGGCATTCAAAAATCGCTCGTATAAGACCAAGCCCAGTAGAGTAGAGAAACACCAGGGAGAATTAAGGTTGCTCTGGACCTTCTCCTGAGCCGCTTTTCTGAAAAGTCCACTACTGTAGTAGATATCATGTGTATCCTCTTTAAAGACAGACGACTTTAAAAGTGTTAAAATGTTTGTATAACAAAATTTTAGGCGGCTACTGCCCACATACGGACATGTTGTTGGACAACATGGTAATAAACATAATAATGTTGCTCTATTTCAGGTCTATCAGCGCTACGTGAACTGACTGTGTTGAGCTTCATCGGTAACGCTATCCGAATTATCGAAGGACTCGATCGTTTGACAAATCTCACGGATCTTGCCCTCTCACAAAACGGGATTACCCGCATTGCAGGGTGATCAACAAGGGTTTTCATCGAGTCTGTTTGCATGATTACAGAAGGCGTGCCCTAAAATTAGGTTCAAGGAATAACCAGACAAATAACTAGGAAGCTTCATTCTGGAGGGAGGCATTGGTTGCCGGTTAGTCCGCTGCGCTGACAGTCTTATATCGCCAGTTAGTTAAGAGCCTGTTGATCATTTCGTGGTCCCGTTTTTCACCCAATCCTGGAGTATCTTATGCCGGAATTTCAGGCGACAGGTGAACTGTCGACGCCTGCCCCCTCTGACTGGATGAGACCCGAACCGTCATATCTACGGAATGAGGAAATTGGACACAGCTGATTGAGGCTCCAAATATGTGGGTCGATGCGCCGCCACCGCTATGCGGCTACCGTCCCGCGTGCGATAATCCCTAGGTGTGGCCGTCTGGTCATCTCTATAAGACCTACATTATAAGGGTTAGCGATTTAATCATGACTTATAATCGGTTTAGTATTGATGTAGAATGATCAATATTCGAGAAAAATAAACAGAAATTTTCAGAAAGAAAAATTCTATGACGTCTGTAAAGTAGAACTGAAAATACTCCTGGCTTTTCTGGATTAGATAAGTCAGTGGGGTATGCCTTAAAGACAGTGATCACGACGGCAAGGGGGCGGTGCGGCTTCGATGACGTCATTGGTGGAAGGGCCATGATTGGCGGTCCTAACCACAGCCGGTGCGCTGGGGGTTCTGTTATAAATGTGTTCATTAACGCAACGACCTTACCCGTTCTTCTAGCATTGTGAGCGCGGCGCCTGATGAGTGTTCTCGTCCCCGTCGTGGTACCCAACCTGAATTCAGAGATCTACCTCTGCGGTCATCCTGCCTTATACCAATTCTCCTGCCGTGTAATCATACTGACGGTCTCGGGGTAAATCCTCCCAAACATTCCTCAATCAATATTTGTCATTGATTTAAGCCTTGTCAACAATGTGGCTCTTATCGCGCTTGACCTCAACGATAATCAAATTGAAAAGATTGAAAACCTCCAACATCTCACCAATCTGAAGAGTTTATGGATACGTAGAAATCGGGTGAGACGTTCTACAAAAACAAATCAATATTCATAGAAGTCATAGACATTTCTTGCAGATCTCAAATTGGTCAGAAGTCGCCTACTTGAATCGTCTCCCAGCCTTGAGAGACGTTACCTTGGAAATGAATCCTATATATAGGTCGGTGTTTTATCATTGTCTTTTTACTCGCACCTAAACACTTCCCAGAATAAAATAGAACCGGTTGAACATGTTGGAGGAACCCGCGGGTTCTACTTCTATGTCGAATTATGGGAGTACGGCGGTGTAGGACAGTGTCGACGGCGTCCTTCCCCCTTGTTTTTCTGTTGCTGGAAATGGTTAGATTAACGGGCTGCTTAGAGTCGGTCAAAAAGTCCACTTTGCAGCGATGCGTCAAGGCAGCGTAGCGAATGACGTCGCGCGCTGCGGCGGGGCGAGGATGAGGCACTGCGGCTAGCCATAAGACTAGAGTACAGCTCAGACAGCGCCAGCGTGGACCTCCTAACCGACATCTTACTGCCCATAGTCGTCGGTCCTAATAAAGCGAACAATTATGGAATGGTTACCTGCTCAACGCCATTGAGAACACACATGCAGAGCCAACCCGCGCTGTGCAGTTCTCACGGATGTTGGAATGTGGTGGATCGTGATTGCGGTAGAGCGGGCAATCGTTGTCGATTCCGCGAAAAAGGGAGGAAGCAGAAATTGCTAAAGTTAGAATATTTGACATTTCATCAGCCACTGTAAACCCACCACCCCGCCTACCCACTCCTGGATGCAGCCTTTGGTAGAGAAAATGGGCGAGGATGGGCCGTGTCGTTTCAAATACTATGATATAATTAGACTGCAGCAATCCAATAAGTACCCAATAAGATCTACCCCCTATTTCGGAAAACGAGAAGAGCGTCAAGTGCAGACCACACGCCACAAGTGACGACGGCCAAGAAGAAGCAGTTTCTTTTTTTGGCCGTCGTCAATTGTGGTGTGTGGTCTGTACTAGACGCTCTTCTCGTTTTAAAACAGAGTACTTCTTTCGGCAGTGCTAGTACAAAATAATGGATGACTTTCAGCACTCAACATTTCTACCGTAATCGAGTTCGAGAAATCCTACCACGTGTGAAAATCATAGACGCTGTGCCAGTGAACTGGGTAAGCGGAGATCCGTGGCAAGAGCTGGCACCCGATGACTAGCACTACTTGACAGACATCA